TGTGTGATCCACTACCTAGGAGGATATCAGTATAACACGATGTTTCTAACAAATGAATGAATGATTTGGAGAAATACAGACATAGGAGTGAGGAAAATTCGTACTTGCGGGAGAGACTTTTAATAACCTTCTTTTCCGAAACAAATGGTCGGATAATGAGTTGTGTGTTGTTTTAATAGACAAAGTGATTTAAAAAACATTTCAAAAAGAATCGATACAACATTTATTCTTTAACCTTGTTTTTATACACTTTTTATGAGAAATAATGTTGTTACTAACTGATTATATATTTTTATTGCTTCACTGACTTTGTAATCAATGTATATATTAAATCCGTCTCAATGTCTATATCCATTTCTGAGTGACAGGAGTATCATGTTTCTGGAAAAATTCCCAAATGTATTTTCTGTTACCACGATATAAGATTTCTACATCTGCACACTCATATGAACATACATTGTCATAAGGGATTTATCGCAATGTTTACCATTTCTCACTAATACCAGTCCTACCTGCAGTAGCTCTATTAAAATATATCATCAACTTTTTGAGTACAATTAGCATAAAGCCATTGTAAGTCACTTTTCGTTTTGATGGATGAACGAGTTCTCAGTCCTCCTATTTAGGTTCTCGTGGATAGTGTACCTCGTTTTGATGATTCTTTCTTAATATGAATGTTTTATTATGAGAAACGTTGTCAATTACAGTGGAATTACTCTCTAAATTTCCTTTTCGAATAATTTTATTAGCAGGCTATCTATAAAGTAATTTCAATTTTTTGTTTCTGTTGCTTTGATAATTACATCTAGCTTTTGTATTACTTCTTTTGTTACTAATTACCACATTGGTTCCTTTATCGTATTTCAATTTATAAATTACATAGCCAAACGTGTTTTGTTCTTTTGGAATTCTTTTTTAACATTTAATTTTAATATTTGTAGAAGTAAAATAAAGCTATAACTTTCCAAATAATAAAACTATGTTTCAATCATTTTTGTTCTTCAATTGACTGATTGTCATTTTTCACTGGATATTAATAACCGTAGTGTTTTATTTCCAGACTGTATACATCAGTTTTCCAGTAAATTCGACTTCACTTTAGTCTAATCATTCGTTTTATATACATGCACGGTTTCCAAAATATGCTGTCAGTAAAATGAAGGGATAGATGATTCAAATGACAAATGGTTTAAATATACTTAAGATTACCAGCGTAAGGCCATATCTTACTAGTCTGTTTTTGACATAATGAGATTTGTGAATCCTATGACCACATATATCTGCTACCATCACAGTTTATCATATAATATGTAAGTATTATGGGTCTTAGCTTTCAGTCTTTCCATGATTAGTCGATTAATATACGTTTTATGGTTTAGCACGTTTTCGTCAACTTATTTATGCTAATAAATTTATAAGTTGCATACCAAAGATAATATTTGTTATAAGCTAAAGGAGAGTTTTTTCCATCAATTAACATTAATATTTGCTTAAATCATGCTATTAATCATTACAACCTGAATAATGTACCAGAATATCCAAAAAGACTTAAGTGTCGTGTGTCATGTTCGGTATTTTTATGTTGTTTAAAATAAAGACAACAATCGATCAGTCTCTGTTGAACTATGAAAACTGTAGATAAAGTTTCTCGATATGGATTCTATTGACATGCTAGTGGGCCTTTAGACTCAGTGGCCTAATCGATAACGCGTTTGCATTAGAAGAGAAAACACTATGTGTAACTCTCTGTCCAAACATTAACACCAGGGTGCAGTTATATCTATTTACCGAGTTCCACGTTCTAAATCAAACTGCTATTCATATACCTATTTATGTTAAAGATTTAAATAATGTCGGTTTACAGAGCAGATATACATAGCAGTTACATGAGCTTAATCAAAATGTTACATAATAAACGATACAATTTTGTTATACCCCAGATATAGGTCAATGGAAAAAGTAACCTTTGGATGAAAATTAGGCATGAATGTTTTCAAACGCGGAATTAATACTAGCATCAATTTTAGTCTTTATAAATTCGAGCAAACAATATATATGATATAAATGATAGTTAACTTATTAAAAAATTAATCTACAAAATTTAAGTTAGCTAGCGATAATGAGGCGATTACTGTGTCTGAGCAACTTTTTCTCTGTGCTACCGAAATTTGCTTTCTTAATACTAAAAGGATATTGAAAACTGTAGTTTCGACTGGTTTTTTGTCATATATGTTATAACCTCAGTTTAAATCCTTAAGAATTTGGAAAGCTTATTTTGGATGGTCTTAAGTGGACACATACAGCTTCTGACTTGTATCTGAAAGATGTCTATCATTTGATTGTGTATCTATCCCAATATAAGTCTGTTGACTTATTCATAGACACATAGTAGTGATGCTCAGTCATAATTATTCAATTTTCACAACAGTAGGTTTGTCTTAGACTTCTAGGCATTTGTAAATTGTCATCAATGGAAAAATAAGAACGTACGAAGGTTTTGAAAGTATTTTCCAAGTGTCAGATTAATAAATCAGGTAAATTTTGAACGACATCCGTTCTGACTATAAACAGTTTTGAGAAATGTTTATTTTATATGAAACTATATTAACCTTAATTGGTAGAAGAATAAGTCATTTAGGACTTTAACGGGGTTATATGGTATGAAAACAAAAAAGTATTTATTGATATCTAGCAGCCTGAATTGACTTTTCACAATTGGATTTTGTACTGATTTACTTAACAGATATGTTTGGTTTAAGTGATAAAAAGGATACAAATTTTGTTGTGTATGATTGTTTCGACATTTCACCAATTCAAACACAATCGAAATCTGTAAGCATTAAATTATCTTGAGTGTTTAAATTTTAAACAACGCGATTTATTCTTTGGTTTTATGATGATTATATAGTTATCAGTTAGGAATCTACCAGCAAATATGTTGATTTTTTGTGTACGTTTGAGTATTCATGATAGTGCAACTAAGCTAACTAATTTATAAATATTGATCATTGTTTGTAAAATCAACGCAGATATGAAAGGCTTATCTTTTATCCTTTTCTTTTTGAATAAGTAAATATGTATTCTGAAAACATTTAAGTAATACATACTGGTTAACAAGCATAATGAGGTTGATACAAATGGTAACATTGCATGTAAAGGACAGACGTATGTTTTCAACGGATTCATGTGTTATAGTTGAAAAAAATTGGTGTACATTAAAGGTACATTTTCCTCACGGATTGAGACAATGTGAGGTATCAGTTTGGAACCACTAATTATTTGTAAATTTATTAGAACATCCTGTTGACAAACAAACCGTGTATTTAGGGTCATTTCTGGTCCTATGACAAAATAACTATTATTATCTATAACTAGAAAATAGAAAAAACAGAGAGCACAGAGCAGCAATACCAATAACAACTATGATAGGTCTACTTTTATAGATGCTTCAAATTGTTTTATGGTCTAATGTTTAGGTCAGATATTATTTAAATTAAAGTTTACCGGGTATAGTGTAAACGTAAAATATCTACAGGAAAGAAAGTTTAATGAGTATGCTCAGTAGTATTGACTATAAAACATTACATGTTCCTATAATTTTACTAATGGAGTGATATATATTTAGAGGTGCAAGCAAATTTAAGGCAGTTTCAGAGGAGAAGTAAATATTGATACAACGAACGAATGATAGACGTGATGCTTTTCACGAATAGACTGTGGAAAATTATTCCAGTCTCGAAAAATTACTAGTAAGATAATTCATATAGAAAAAGGTTTGGAATAAAATCTCTTAAGATACATGTTTAGGTATCTAGAAGATCTGTGTTACTTCATTCAATGCACCGTGGTTTAGACATATTGTCTTCCGATACAAAACATCAGTGATTAGATCCAGTTGATTGATGTAAATGCTCACCACAGTACAGTAGTAATTAACAATGTCACAATGTTAGTCAAACAATGACCGACTTTCATTAGATTCTATCTAAGCTTTACCAGCAATAAAATTAAATGGATACCCTTCTGACGTTGGTTTGAAACAGTCAATAAAGAGCGTGAATCAATACTAATTTTATCATGATGAATTCAGTGTAATAACCTAAATTCATTATGCATTGTTGGATATAAATCAAACCTTACTCAACTCAACGGAAAGAATACTTAATATACAGAAAGTATCTCTTACAACTAAAAAGTGATTACTCTGATATAATTGTCTCCAAATAAAATATTTATAATATCATAATAAAAAGTGGGATAGAAAACTTTGTATCAAATGGTCAAAGAGGTGAATTCTAATGCCAAAATAAGAAATTTAATATCTATATAGAAAATAGCAAACACAAGAAGACTTGATGAGTTATCTGACTGGATCAAATACTTTTAAATTTATCTAAATCAGAATTCGTAGTAGTAGTTAGTAGAAAATCAATAATACTACACTTATACATCGTTCCTGTTTTTTTGGCCCGGTATCTGACTCCAACTGGATCGCACGAATGATTGTTATTGATAATATACTTACCGTCAATCCTCGCATATATTCATTGACTTAATCCGCGTTGGTGATTTGTTAGTGAACAGTATAGACTGTATTCGGTGTTATACGTTTATATAGAATCATCAGGAAATTATTTATTGGTTATTCTCAGGAAAATAACACTATATGAGATCAAGTCTACGTTGACCGTTGTTTCACCTCATGATATCTGTATACACTTGATGCTCTTAGATGAACACTTTTGAACAAATGACTCCTAACTTAGAACATTCGTTTCCGCTTATCATGAAATATACATAGATGAGAGTTAAATTTACGTGTAATTCTTTCTTCTTTTCCAGCCATATCACTGTTTAATATACAGTTCTTTACTAGATGTTATTTATTAGAATCAAGTATATTTATGTGTGAATGTCCTAGAAGCGAAAATTAATCAATATTTTCAAACTTTATTTTTGTATATAAGATCTTGTCATTTATCATATCCTATTTTGTATATGTATGCATAACTACATCTACAGTAGGGAATGAAAACTCTCTGTACAACCTGATTGGGCCATTGGAATTTGAGTGGTTGTATTTGACCATCTGAAATCTGACAAATGTTTCCCTAAATCACTGTTAGTTTGTATCTATTTTGTGTACTCACATATATATGTATAAATTGAAAAGTTTATTTCTTCGCCCTCATTCCTTTCTTATAAGACTTACGCACTAACTTTGTTAACTATAAACTTAGTTTAACTTAGTTTAACTAAACAAAAATAAGATTTTAGTATCTAGTACTGTGATCTGTTGTTTTTAGGAGCAATAGTATTTAGTTCATATGCTAAAATATTACACTTGCACATTTTTATGTTACATCTGCCTCATCATTATCATCGAGGCAAGAACAAGAACAAAGGATTATGATAAAAATTTGGGCGTAAAAGCAGTAACAAGACTGGTAAGTCTTTGTTTAGTTTGCTTTTTCCTTTAGACTTAATATTTAAGTCAATTTACCAAAACTTTGTCCTTTTTGTCATGTCATCATCAAAAGTCCATTTAGAATTGGATTGATGAAGAACTATAACGGGATTTAAAAATTATTTTAAAAATACATACTAAGAAAAGAAACATTCTCCTGTATTATTTACGAGCTGATGAATTACGATGACATTACAACTTTACTAAAGATGGATGTTTTCATTAAATGTTATACATATGTTCAAAATAGGGAAGAAACAGCTTAAAGTGAAGTTGCTCAATTCCAGAGATAAACAATTTCATTAATTCGTCAAAGTTGATAAACAACTTAAGTAGTTTTAATATATATACGTTTCTACATTGATTAAGATTTCAGTACCGAAGACGAAAATTTGAAATTTCAATGAGTACACTTCTTTTTTAAATCACTTTAGGAATATTCGAAGTACTTTAGAAGACTAGAAATGTTCGCTTAAGGAAGCTATGATTGGATATTCTCATGCATCTCAAAACACAAGTAAATTCATTTGACTGCATAAGATGCTAGCGTGTATCTATTAATGATTGACACTGACAGTGAATTAGATAAGTATCTATTTAATCATTCTATTCGTATAAGTTAGACTACTGTGTCAACACGAACATCAATGAATGAACCAGTAATCCTTTTTTTCAATAAATCATAAAGGCTGTTAAACTGCTTTCTATTACATAAAATGATATCTATTGCAATAAGTTAATGAAAACTTAGGAGAACGATATTTAGTCGTTTTTTCTTAGTTACCAACTCTTAGGCATTAATTAGTAACAATTTTATACATAACTAAACTTTAAAAAAACCTCATTAAGGTTGATTTCATTTAGAACAATTAGTCCAAATCAACTAATTTACATTTCTGTAACATAACAGTCAAAAAAACATCCTGTTATATCCTAGTGAAGACATAAGTACGAGTAACTTCCGGAATCTATTAACGGACTATTATTCTGTATACATTCTTATTTTACGACTATTCAGTGATTAGATTTAATCTATATGTATTCATCTTAGCATAAGCTTCATTTCAACCTATAGATTATTATTATACGAATTACTGTCTCTAAATTATACTCAGTTTATTGATTACTGTTCCCCAAGTTCACAGCTACATTTTAGCTTGATCTTGCACAAATATTATTTTCTATTTTATGATGTGATGCGGTCTGTCTGTCTGGTATATAAATCAAGTATGCTTGAAATAAATGATTCACATAGCAGAAGCTGCTATTGGTGTTCTGGACTCAACTGAAAGGATTAGACGGATAAAGGACCAATAAGCATGCTTAGCTGCTCATACCATTCGAACGTCATTAGTTTGGTACAGTGCTAAGATTAAATATATGGTATTCCGATTAATGGTTAAATCACGTGATAAAAGCCGCGCATAAAATTACAACAAATTGGAGACAACCTGTGTAATTCATAACACATTCCTAATAGTAGAATATTTTCAAGTGTCATATAAACTGATTACTTTCTGATAGAGGTAATGATATTTCGTGATATATTTCTGTACAACATATCATCACATTGAAATAAATGTTAAAGGTTCTTGAAGTTCAGAAGATTGTAACTTATTAGTAAAGAGTTTCATTTGGATTATTATTATTATTATTATTTATGCGTCATTTGACTGTTTTACGGAACCATATTAAACTTATGTGTAGATTTGAATTTATAATTCAATATGCATTTTATTTATTCACTTCAATATCAGAGTATTTTTACTTCAGATCTTACATAAATTACCAAAATGTAGTCATCTGTAGCGATCAAATACAGATATTATTACTACAGAAATATAACACAGAAATAGTGATATAATGATCAATAATCACTTAGTTACTTCTTAAATTCGTACACTTAAATAATATGGTTATTCATTGGGCTATTAACACTAATTCAGAAATCACATCATTGGTTGTAATAACTTTATTCTTAACATTTCATACCACATGTATAGTTTAATAAAGCATTATGTTTATAATACTCATTAGTATCATTTTTCTAAAAGAATTTACAATAATATTATTATTGTTTGTTGAAACTACTCATCTACCTTGTTACTTAAAATTCCAATGAATATAAACCTTTCTAAACTCTTAATTGTTTAATTATAGAAGGGGTTTTGTGAAGATTTAGTATTTATCATAGTTGAAAGCGTGAGTCAATTGATACTAGACCACCATGGAAAACCTGGAAACACTGGATGACCGTTTCGTCCTATTATGGGACTCCTCAGCAGTGCGCATCCACGAACCCGCTCTTAATTGTTTGCAAGATGTCAGTTATTGTATGTATATCGAAAATTGGTAATAGTTTCATTCATTTAAAATGTGTTAGCTAAATAAGTTCACATCATTTTCTATAATTATGTATCAATATCAATATCATATTTCATTAAAATGAAGAAATGTTTCAGTTACAAACATGCAAGATTATCGATTGATACAGTCTGAAATATATATATCATATATATGTCCATTCATTTAGTAATTATCTTTTGCTTACGTTGAAGCAACTCAGGATATGTATTGGGGTAGAAAATAACATGAAGATATATAGTTATCATTCTTTAAGGTCAGTGATATAAGTTTTATATAGAGATCTTAATTAGGTTTCAGTTTGTCAAACATTTATTGTACCTTACGAAAGAAGTAATTTATGAATACTTTTATTTGTAGTTACGCTGGTTAGCCTACATTTTGTATAGCTCAGAAGAAACTCACTAATTAAAATTCTGCATCACTCTTCTGAAGTACGAGTGTGTTAATGTGTCTGTTGACCAGCTACTTATTCTGTCCAATGTGTCTTCTAAGCTAGTACTGGTAATCTTAGTAACCAATGAAACAATCGTGACTCTGATTAGTCAGTTTATATAAGCACTTTTTCTGTCCTCCAGTCTTAAATTCGGTTGAGAAAACGCCCATTATTCTATTTCAAATACACATGCATTTATATACAAGCTTACCGAGGGTCATTAAAACATAAGGGAAATGCATGGATGTAATAGTCTAGCTACTAGTTTTTTATACAAAGAAATATAAATAATAACCGGTCGTAAAACAGTCCCAAAGTTTCTAAGAAGTTCAATACTCAATTCGTTATAATACTATCCATCCGATATGTCTTTGGATTTGATTGTTTTTGAGATAAAATTCCTTAATAATAAAACAGTAATTCAGTGGAATTTATTTATGGTCTACAGACACCATTTACTTGCATGGTATTCAATTTTATGTGCAATGGTTGCTCTAGAATGGTTGATGCTGAAATCAGATTGCAGGAATAGCACAATAGCAGATAAACGAGGATAAATCTTAATTTTGAAAAAACCATAATTTGTTTGTAAAGTGATTTAAAATTCTAGAAGTACGAGAATGTATAAAAGTGTAAATAAAAATGAATATTCTAATCAATAGAAGGTTTATAGAATCTCATGAAATGCATGGGAAATTACAGCAAAAAACACAGTTGATTTTCACCGGGGAAATACTTTAAGAGAATCTTCGAATAACATCATGCAAACTGCCAAATCATGCTTTCCTTAACTTAACAAAGGCCGTTGAGGAACTATTTTATGGTAAGTGATTTTTTAAAAGAATTGAATTTGGATTTCACTATTCTGTAAAATTAGGATATTTTCATTCCAGTGCAGATATCCATAAATTACACCAAAACGGACTTTAATAGTAGATTCCTCTAAAGTAGACAATATTTTTAATGTATTGATAGATGATGAATATTTATCTAACAATAAACATTAAATCTAAATACATCTCAGGCTAATGAACTAAAATATATAGTAACTTATCCTTGATATTTTAATATACTACTAATAAGTTATATCTTGCTCAAAATTTATATAAATGATCATTTCTTTTATTTAACTTCCTACATTTTAGTGTGGTATGGAAGGAGAGGAATGCATGGATGATTTCAATTGTTGTGAAGAGTATGAATGCAGCCCTGATTGTAAGTAAGATTAAGCTTATTATTATAAAGAAACACTTAGTATGTTGATAACATAAATAATTCATTGTGAGTAACTGATAAAGTTAGATTATGTAATAATTCAATTTAATTGCATGAGTAATGATGTCCTTAAAACACTGAGGTCGCAAATTTGACTTAGGAAAGGTCTGGTGCAATTTGATAACCAGGTATTATCACTAATAACCATATAATCAATAATGGTGAAAGCCGAATAAATGAACCACCGCTTTACAGAAACATTTTTAATTTTGTAGCTTTCTAAAGAATGTTTGTATGATAAATTAAATATTTAGGACTTCATATAAATTAAAACTTCGATTATACAAACTAACGATGTGGTTATGAAATAATTACGTTTATTGTAGGTTAAGGGCTTCGGCTCGAGACTGATAGATCCTGGGTTCGAATCTCGCGAAAGCGGGTTCGTGGATGCGCACTGCTGACGAGTCCCATAATAGGACGAAACGGCCATCCAGTGTTTCCAGGTTTTCCATGGTGGTCTAGCTTCAATTGACTGACGCTTTCAACTATGATAAATACTAAATCTCCACAAAACCCCTTCTGATAATTAACATATTGTATTCATTTATTATAGTAGTCGAAGTGCTAATGGACTAAATATACTTCAAATTTCAGTTATTTTATAAAAATTTTTATAAATGAAAAAACATACAGTCATTCCAACATTCAAGAAAGAAATAGCCACTCGTTATTGCTTAAATTTAATATTCTCAAATATAAAGTATTCAGTTAATTGTACGTCAGGGTAAAGTACTGAAAACTACATTTCATTCGCTTCAATTAAATAAGGGTAACAATTAATTACAATATACTTCGAAATCTGTCTACTTTTTAGTTCGAAATGTAAACTATTATTATCATGACAGTTAGGAGGATGTATTTTTTCTACGATTAAAATAAGTATTATTATTGTTATCATTTTTCACTCATTTAACTAATTACTTCTAGTCAACAACGTAGGTCATTCTAACTGAGACTATATTACTGATTTTCAAATGACTACTATCTAAGACAATTTTCAGTTTTAAATATTCAACGGCTACTCATCATTTTTAAAACTAAACATTTATGATAATTAAAGTGATATTAATAACCTTTCACTTAACCCATATACTTTCGTAAGAAAAAGTTTGAACTATAAGGTTCAGTTAAACTTATAAAGAGTAGTCGTCTCTTTGGAGTCACTTGTTAAATGCTTCGTCATGTCTCTAATTTTACACCCTAATTTATTTTTTAAAAAAGTAAAACTTTTATTTCAGAAAATTTATTTCCATCTTGTTTAAATAAGTTTATCGTATAAATCGCAATGTAGTTAGTGTTTATACAGATTTTTATCATATTTTATGATCAACTGAATTCTTCGAAACTATTTCAAATGAATCAAAAAAATCAAAAAAATCACTCTACACTGAAACTCTTTTAAACAGATTTTTCTAGGTAGCCTGGAAATCACTTTTCTGAAGAACCTTTTTCTGATTTATTATAAAACATATAGACGTGGACATTAATAAATTAACACAAATGTCCGTTACCAATAGTAGTTAAATTAGTAGAAGTGTAGTGTGGGTTACTGATATCCACATAAGTAGTATATGATGATGGTTGGGTATTGAATGTATTTCAGTAGAAGATCGATAAGGAAAGAACGGAAACGGCACACAATTGGTATGAAAATGGATGAAAAATTATAATCGGAGACTATGGACGGATATTTGCAGAAGAAACAGTCAAATTGAGACAATTGATTGTTATTTTGTTAACTCTTCACTATATGGTTCTCATATTTTAATGACATATTCTGTAATGTTGCAATAAAATACATTGGGTTGTCCCCACTCGTGTTCTCATTCACTACAGTAGTACACATGATTTGTTAACTTCAAACATAATATCCAGCTCTTTAAGTAATCTATTATTCTATGAATTATCTATGAATATATGATATTTATTATTTGTACAGTTGCCAATTATTAACGATGAATGTTATTGTTGTATCCCGTGGAGATTTAGGAGTGGTAACTTTGAGGACTATTAATGGACAAATATGATATGTGTATTTCCTATTGTATTATTGTTAAATAACTAAATTATTCATATTCGTGTCCCTCTTATTATAAGCTTTATTTTGACCTATAGGCTATTATTATACGATTTACCATTCTTGAGTTATCCCTTACCCATTAATTACTGTTCCCCATATGCACAGCCACATTTGGCCAAACCTTGTACAAATGTTATTTTCTATTTTATGGTACGATGTAGCGTGTTTGATTGTTATATAAACCCAGTACGTTTGCAGAGTCTGTTATTGGTGTTCTTGACTTAACTGGCTGGTCTAGTCAGATAACAGGACTGATAAGTAGTACCCAAGACTGTTCATACGGCTTTTGTGTATCATTGCTGCAATCGATAATTCGCTCTTCTCCCATTAGCGGGAGTCAGCACCGTCGTATATTAAACAGGGCACGCATGCACTCACACGTTATAACAGTTCTGTAAAATAAAAACTCGTATGTATGTATAAAATATTGTTTTGTGGTGAATTTTACGAAAAATTATTTTGATGATCAAATGAATAATTTACTTAAGTAATATATTCAGATTATTCATAGATTTTCCTTAAATACATAATATGATTTTTTTAATGAAAATATTTATTTTAAATTGTTTATTTTTATTTCGAATGATAGTGCAATGTCAACTTAGGAATGCTAAAAATAAAATTGCAGGATCTTACCGAAATTTATGTGTAGCTGATTATGATTGTCTACCAGGATGGTGTTGTGAAGGCAAACTATATGCACGTCGCTGTACACAAGATTGTAATAGAAAAACTGAACCAGATGTTGTTCCAGCTGGAAGTTATTATGGACGACAATTTTGGAATTTATGGGCACACAAACGTCATATGGATCGTTATCATTATTGAACATTTAATGGATAAATCAATTCAAAATATTATTTACTTATTTATTCATCAAAGAATATTTGAAAACTTTAATTTGGTTGTGATAAACAATAATGGTTGTGATGTAACCGGTTGTGAATAAATTTCATTTCATTTGAATTTTAGAAGAAAGTTTAAAACTGTGTTTACTTATAAATCAAATAAATTATTCTCATTTCCATTAAGTATTTATCAGTTATATTTATAGTGAAACGCCTCTTAGTCAGTCATACATAACAAAGAATCTGCCATATGTGCATCAGTTGAAGTTACTACACCACATTACTACGACGAGATGCCATAATAGTGTCATTAGTAACAGACTTAGTAGTATTAGAAAAGATTACAGATCGAATATATATATATATATATATATATATATATATATATATCAAGAAATATAGATTAATGTGTGATAGAAAAGAACTTTTAGGTTGATTGAGAAACTTTCGTTTACAAGGGAAACAAAAAGTTAGTACATATTCATCATTGTGAAATATTATAAACCATGTCAACCAAAGTCTCTAACGATTACACGGGATAACCGAGATAAAATTAACCAGGTAATCTACACCTAAATAGCACGTCTTATTCCAAATGCCAGTGACTTCATTAACAGCCACTGGCTATCTCCAAAGTACTCCTACACCAGCCATTATTATACGCCCAGGTAGGTGGTGCTTTGGCATACGATGATTCGTTATACTTACCTAATACCTAGTCTAATCTCAGCATCTATCACGAAGTAATCTCAACTTAAGTAACCAACACATCGAGGGCTATGTGAGTAAATACTATTGACCTATATATTTCTTCATTTTTTAAAGACCATGTTTCATAGCTTTAATGCAAAATTGCAGAATTCTGAGCAGTAAATTCATCCTTTGGTTGGGTGGCAGATAACTTACCTACATCACAAGTGATGTGAGTTTTTAAAATTCAACCGAGCTATCTGAATCCACACCGATGTTTCATCAAACACTGGCCCAACAGAATTAAATATACTTCTAAAATAACTGAAACGACAGACGAACTCAATCACCTCAATCTTTCCCACTAATTAAGATACTGACGTAGGGCAATCCTGGAGCAACGTTTTTATTTGGTGGGAGAAAATCACATCCTAAACAAGATTAGATTGTCACTTGAGGTGGTCAGAAAACTGAATTTTTTCACTGTCCTTGCCAAACTGGACTATATTATTTATTTGAAGTCAACGTATGAATCTTCTGGAAGGAGATCAACTCCAGAAAAGCTAGACAATAGGAAGGTTGTCCCTAAAAGAATATTTACAAAAATGTTGAACAAAACTGTTGACAACAAACAACTCAGACGAATTCCACTTGAATTTATCAAGTCCGATGATCGTTCACCATGGGCTCCTACTTCACCAGTAGTCCTCGAACATGTAGTTTGCACAAGGCTGTTTTATCTCTCTTTTTGGTAAGTCACGCTTCACGTTCTTTTCAAGAACATTTAGGAGGAGGAACAAATGCTGACGGACTGGAAAGAAGAATATCTCGTCAAGGTACCAAAGGAAGGAGATCTGAGAAAATGTGATAACTGTGGAGGCACCACACTACTGTCAGTACCAAAAAAGGTTTTCAACAGAGTGTAGCTGAACAGAATGAAAGACTCAGTAGACGTCCAGCTTCGAGATCTACAGGCCGGATTCTGTAAGTATCGACCGTACACAGATTAAATCGTAACATTATGGATCATCGTTGAACAATTAGCTGAATGGAAAGCGTAACTACACATCAACTTTCCTCGACTATGAGAAATCGTTTGACCGTGTGGATAGGAAAACATTATGGAGACTTCGACACTATGGAGTACCTGAGAAAGTCGTCAAAATCATCCGGAATTCAAACGACGCACTACAGTGCAAAGTGGTGCATGGAGGAAAGTGGATAGACTTATTCCAAGTGAAAACCGGAGTCAGACAGGACTGCTCACTCTATCACTTTCTCTTCATTCTGGTAGCCCATACACATGAACAAATGCAGATGAGAACAACTAATGTAACAGCAGCCTTTGCATCAATAGGCCCCAACATACACAAAGGATTAAGCAAGATCCCCAAATACAACACAGAGAACACTGAGCCAATTACACTTGATGGAGAAACTCTGGAAGATGTGGAAACATTCACGTACCCGGGAAGCATCATTGATGAACAAGGAGGACCTGATGCAAATTTAAAGGCGAGGACTGGCAAAGCAAGGACAGCATTCCTACAACTTAAGAGCATATGGAACTCAAAACAACTGCCAACCAATATCAAGGTGAGAATCTTGAATACGAACGTGAAGACCTTCCTACTGTACAGAGCTGAAACTTGGAGAACTACTATAATTAACATCAAGAAGGTACAAGTGTTTATAAACAGTTGTCTACGCAAGATACTCAACATCTGTTGAACGGACAGCATCAGCAACAGCCTACTGTGGGTAAGAACAAACCAGCTTTCAGATGAAGAAGTTAGGAAAAGACTCTGGAAATGAATGGGACGTACATTGGGGGAATCACCAAACTGTATCACGAAGCAAGCGCTAACTTGAAATCCTATAGGGAAGCGGAATAGAGGAAGGCGAAAGAACACACTGCGACAGAAATCGGAAGCAGACATCAAAAAGATGAATAACAACTGAAAACAAATAGAAAGGATTGCCCAGGGTAGAGTTTAATGAAGAATGCTTGTAAGCAGCCTGATTTCAGGCGACGATTTCTGAGACCTGCTTTCTGAATTTCACTACTATCCACTATCCAGATGACCAATTTAAACACATTACATATTTCATACCACTATTCATTTCACAAATGAAAATAACGAAAATATATTTATTTCTGTCTAAGGTTAATATAATATTATTGAAACTGAAGATCATTACTCTGATCGCCAATGGATTGATATTTTAATATATCTTAATGTATATGATATGGTACAGAATTCAATATTGCATTATATTAACTTGCCTCTAGCAAATTATCTGACCTTTTACTTGAGAAATATAATTGAATACAAAATGCAGCTTGATAGGTAAAAGAATTATATAGTTCTCTCTTATAATAAGTATATAGAGAAGATATCGAGAAAATTCCGGTTTAACCTAATGTTGACTTTTCTATAAATGCTATTCATCATCGTTCCTTTTTTCCACAATCTATTTTAAACTCAAGAGGCTCAGTTTGCTGACAAAACTAATAAAATATTAAATAATGTCCTAATACTTAGAACCTGGTATGACTTCTTCTGTAGTGTGTATATTTGACCTTATTTTAAGACGAAATACCAAGAAATCCAGTTTATTTAGTAATTTATCCATTGGTGACATATATTTCATCTAGAATGCATGATTGGTTGCCTAGACGAAATTTATTCTGAATTCTTATTTATTCTAATGTATATCTACTAAATTTGCAAACGTTATAATTATCAAGTTTCAGAATTTATTTTATTCCTTGTATAATACTATACAACACAACTTTAGATGAAAAAAAACACCAAACTAGAAAGTCTTTCATTTAACAATGAAGTTTAAAACTGATTTATTATCGAAGATACCTCTCCAATTTACTGAAAACGTGTTTGAATGTAATTTTGTAGTGGAATATCGAATGACTATTATTCATTTTGATTGGTTTTCAATGATCAATGTACTTGTTCATTTATAAAATTATCTCATTTTCAGATGTCAGTGCAACTAGGCTATACAAATAGCAGGCAGCACTGAATTATTTTAGATACCATCGTAGAGCGGCACATACATAAAGCACTGATATAATCAATTTAATTTGTTGAACAACAAAAACCGTGTAGATTATAAAGCTGATCGTAGTAACTAGACAATAATAATTGATAGCATTGCGATAAATTTAATAGTATGTATAAAAATAATCAAGATATAGCAGTAAGATAAAGAAAACATTTCAACATTTAAAGTAAATCAAAACTTAGAAGAATTCATTAAGACAAACAATCTTTAAAACTAACGTAAGATTAATTGATGAGGTCTGTGGATGAGCAGTGTAATTTAAAACATTTAAACAGTTTTAAACTATTATAGTCTTATTCACCACATAACCAATGTTAACAAAACCTGATTGAAAATTGATGTGTGTTGAGTTTCTGTTTGATTTTTGCTTAAGCATGAAGGTCAATCCTCTCTACAGAGGCAAACTGACTCAGTAAATTAATAGAAAGTCTTACAATTTTCCTGTCTCAGATACCTTACACAATAATATGTCAATTCAATCGAAAACGATGATGTTTATAATGGATAGAACTGTTTATGGCTATATAATATTCATAAGCAGTTTAACACTCAATTCCTTCAACCTACATTACATAAACAACTACCAACACCCATGCTCATTAATAAAATAATTAGGGGGTGAATCATATGTAAATGATTTCGAAGTTCATTTTTGCTTGAAACTCTTATGTCAGTCTATTTTTGACTTTATGAATAATGGATTTCACTAGCCTGAGTTTGCATTGTTGCAAATAACCAAATTAGGCTTACTAAACTTTCTCCCAGGTTGTGAGTAAAAAATACGTCAAGCTACTAATAGACTGGAATAAACGCTATGTAACAAGCACAAGCATTGCGCAAATTGACATGTGATGGAAAATGCTATTAACAGCTGATGAATAACGACATCTGAAATCCTTGACAACATGTCACATGTGAGCGAGAACCCATGGCATGTCTTTTGAACTCTTCCGAAAAATATGATTGTAAGTGAAGGTTCGATATGGTTTGCACAATTATGTTAAGATGTACGATGTATGAAATGAAACAGAAAACTATAACAGTAACGATAAATCGAAGGACCTTTTATAAAAATAATAGTTCAGATTGATGTTTACTTTTTGAAAATGTAGTTATACAAACTAAGGAAGAGAAATTCATCATCACCGATGTTTATAATAAAGATCAGTGAACCTGACGAGGACAAAGTCAAATCAGAAATGATCACCTTTTGGTGGATAATAAATAAGACTGTGTATGAAATTAAACGTTCATATGCTTATAAATCTTAGTCTGCTTATTAGTATCTTTCTCCTGCTATTACGCTTTTTCTGTCGCATTTCGAATATCTATTTCACCTTCATTAAAAAAACATGTAAAACCTGTTTCAAGTAATACCACTTATTGTAATCTTAACGAGATCGTGTTTTATTTATGATTACCGAATTTATGAAAGTGTACAATACTTATACGTAATTCTTTCACCAAGTATAATAGCTACCATCAAGTTATCTTGCTTTAAAATTACCAATCAAATTTTTGTTTGTTTGTTATCATTCTGAAGGCAAGATGCATACATAAATTAGATGTAGGTTGATACATATATTTGGATAATTAATCTTGAGTTATTTGTTTACTTATTCTTTTCTAGGATATATCAACTTATTAAATCCTACAGTTTGTTTTTCATGGAGTCACTATGAAATGTTAATTTATATTTCAACCACGTATAAAAAAACGAAAGCTAATACTATCGGGATGTTTGTTTGTTTTTATCCATAATTAAGTTTCTACATACAATTAAACATTGATCGTCATCAACAGTTTGAGAACGTCAACCATCTATTGAAAATACCTTTTATTTTTAAAAATATATTAAAATAATTATATATTTCTACGTTGTACAATCCAATGCAACATTGAAAAAAACAAGGTTTTGTATAATCTATTGGCATTACTTTTTAAATACATTAAACACAATGAATACAGGGGTTAATCTAAACACATTTTTTGTGTCACATTTATACAAAACATAAAATAAATCATTTAAATAAAATTAATTGGTCCAATTTGATCTCATTAAATAATAAAACACTGAAATGCATTTAATTCTTTCATACATTTTCATGATTATTGCACAGGTGTATATATATATAGAAGAGTCAAATTCAATAGGAATGATCTGTATAAATCTTAAAACAAAATAATATAACTTATTCTCTTCTATGAAAATTCAAATAACAGAAAATTGATAAATAGAGACATTTGGTAAATGATTGTAATGTCTATGAATTGATTGAATATTCTCCATAATAATAATAACAAGGTGATTTGACAAATTTAAAACAAAATATTTTCATTTCATTAAATACTTTATAGTTACCAGGTCATATAATTGTAACAATTAATTAGTTGAAAGCATAAGTCAATTGAAGTTAGACCACCATGGAAAATCTGGAAGCACTAGACGGCTGTTTCATCCTATTGTGGGACTCCTCCACAATAGGACGAAACGGACGTTCAGTGCTTCCAGATTTTCCATGGTGGTCTACCTTCAATTGACTTATGCTTTCAACTATGCAAATACTAAATGTCCACAAAAATTCCTTCTCATAATAAATAATTAATTAATGAATAATAAATGAGTTTTGCTAAAAATCAAAACAAAAAAGAAAATGAAGTTTCTGATCAAAATAAAAAATAGTTAGTTTTGATGTGAATTTTTACACTTTCGAATCACAAAAATGTTTTTAAATGAAAATAGAAATTATGAAATGCACAATTACATAATAATTAGAATAATTTTTTTCAATGATCATATTACGTAATTTATTGATTACAATCTGAATATATATATATATATATATATATATATATATATATATAATGGTTTTGTTAAATGTAACTAGTCAATATAAAAGTATCTGATTTGTTGCTTCATGATTATTTTTATTACATTTGAAAATTTAAAAAAAAGAAATTTATTATTATTATATTAATTCATTTATACAATTATTATGTTCTCATTTATTATATGGTTATATTAATGAAATAATGAATAATCAATATTCAATTGAAATCATTATTATTTCACATCTCATCGGTTTTCATTTATATAGGAATGAATGATAGTTCATTGTGAATGCTTTAATTTTGTTGTAAGACAATTAAAATATGAATGAATGTTTGATTATTTCATAGATTTCAATTGAATTAGAGAAGATAGTTAATGGAAGGTTAATTTCAAATCGATTTAAATTATAGTCTTCTGATAGCTTATAGTATGTTATAATTATTGTCATTTCATATCTAATAGGAAATGAAATTGTACGGAAACGATTAAACAAAAAATAATAATCTAACGAAATTCATTTTATTATTATTACAAATATCATGATGCAATAGTGAACAATTTTAACAGCTTTACATAACTTATGTGAATAAATTCTAATAATGAGGAAGAGTGGAGTTCACAAAATATTTTATTTTATAGGTTCAGTGTTTAGTTATTTAAATAAGTATACGTATATAACCTATGGTAATTATTGTATATATATGTTAAAACAAGGAATTCTTCTCTTACATGACTGTAAAATAATTTCAGAACTTAAACGGTAAACCTAAATGACAAGATATTTACCATTATCCATTTCACAAAGTAAACAAAGTCCAGTTTTAAAAATTGAGTCAAATGTAGCCAATGAAAAGTTGCTCTACTCCTTCCGATTTTCGAAGATAATAACTTACATTTTGTTTTGTAATTAACATTTTTTCAAATACTCACTGAACTGTTCATTATTGAATTCTTTTTGATCTGTCAATTTATGTCACTTTCCTTATCCGAATTGAATGGCAGTCATTCCCCATTTTATCAACGCTCATTACTTTTATCAAGCTAACAGCGCGGTTGCTATTATTATTATTATTATTATTATTATTATTATTATTATTATTATTATTATTATTACAATTCCAGATGCATCTACTAACCAAGAAATGAAGAAATTTGCTAAGCTCATCATTCCATATTGAAAATAAGTGTGTCTCGTTTGATCTATACAGCAGTAGAAAGCAATTTTATGTATATTATTTACCACACAACGACCATTAATATAACGGCGGAAACGGAAGAAAGATATACTACTTTTAAATGTTTGAGTAGTAAAAATGTATTACTTAAAATGATTTAAAGAAGAAAGGAGTCGCTAACCATCCTCGAATGATCAGAGATAACTCCTCGTCGGTTATCTGAGTATATAAGAAATATAATTAGACTGCTTTTGAGCAGAAATAATATTATGATCTTACAGGATATTAGGTGGTGAGCCTGTGAACTTACAGAAGGCAAATTTATGGTTTAACGAATATAGACATCAATAAGACATATTTGGTGAGTTATAGAAAATATTAAAAATGTTATACTTTTATGACACGGACTGATTACTGACTAGAACCTATTGATACTGGCTATAAAAACTACATGGCTATGAACCGATCAATTTTAGACATTTATTGGAAACTTGGAAGCACTGTACGGCCAGGTGTGAGGCAGTTATCCAGCGAACACAATGAAAGATGGTCGCGCAATATCGTGGATTGGTTGAAGTACGAAATTAATACCGTCGGATCACGTCCCAATGGTTTAGAGGCTAACCGTTTGAGGTCCAAAAGTCCTGGATTCGAGCAGTCTCACATTATGACGAAATGACCGTCTAGTGTTTCCAGGTTTTCAATGGCGGTCTAACATGGATTGGTTCATGATCTTAATAAAACTCAACAATCCCCATAACCCTATCCTGATTACCAGACGATCAGCAATTGATCGTTCACTATTTCTATGATATTAGTAAAATGGAAAAGATATCAGGGGGGTTCGAAGAAAGTATATTTGTAATCTCTGAAGCAAGTAAACATTTGGCTTTAGTTACCTCAAAGGAATGATTTCGTTGCTTGGTATCAACAAGATGACAGTAATGACAGTAATTTATGTTCATATGGTAAACCATTGATTCATTAATTTAAAGTTTCCACTTCATTAATTCAACCAGAATGTTGATTCAATTAAATAAAGAGATTAAAATACGTATGTCCAGTTATTGCTTTATTTTTGCATTTAGGGTATAACAAATGCTCATCATTTGCTTGTTTTCTACATCGAGTTGTGTGAATCATGGATTCCAGTAACACAATATTCGTAACAATATATATAGTAAACGTGACGTAAACGGTCACATATTTAGCGGAATAAACAAAGTGGACACCACATAATTTCTTTGAAAAACTTACTAATATCAATTCTTCTTCAAACTTCTTTCTAGTTGTGATGGTTCATTATGTAGAAAGGAATAGTTGTCATCACACATACCTGCATTTCGATATTGAAGATTACGGCTGAGCTTGGCACTCAAAGGCGGTTGGTTCTGAGAATTAACAGTTAACTGTGAATTAGACGTAGGGTATCGTCTTTCTGTATTTCTTTGCGCTCGTATAGGAATAGGTGGAGCTCCACTTGAACTTTCCGAAATAGGCACAATATTCCTGCTGATTCCATGTCTTTGATGTTGTTGAGTGCTAGGTCTGTAAGATGAATCACTACCCAACGCATCACCTGTTTCAAATTGATTTTCATAATATGCCGGTTCCGGACGTTCTACAGAAGCAATCCAACTTGCTGCTGTATCATAATTCATGATTGAGTCGTTAGGTCTTACCGAAATGTTTTGATTAACTGATCGATAAGGGTGTAGAAGTCTGTTGAGTTCACATTCAAGTTTATGCCTATAAAAAGTAGATTTTTAAAAACTGTTAGTTGAGATTCTGGTTCTTCTATTTTGTGTAAATAATTGTCAACCATTCACTAACTCTTAATGCCTCAGGGAAATTACAGTTTGTGCGAAATGATGCATGTTTCCTATCAAATGTGATAACTTAACAATAAAATTCTATCCCTTGAATTTCACGCTCTATCTCGGACCAAACCAACTTAGTTGCTTCACCTTGATATAAAACCGCATCGATGGGAGGTTTAACCAGCAAGATAAAGTTTAATGAAAATCCTAGTTGAAGCAAGTTGATTGTAATTATCAATTATCTTGCGGTTAACTCTATACATCTTTTTCCTTGATTTCATTACTCCTTATCAAAATATATTTTATTTAATGAAAATTTTCGTTTAAGTAGAAAATCAAACTATAAATGAAGTTAGTGAAAAAGGCAATACAAACAGATATGTCAACATAGAAAACGTGGTTACAAACAACAGTCAATAAAATCTTATGTTCACAGAATAAGCTTATAATCACTTAAGGAGGAATTGTAACAAATTTATTTTTTAAAGGGGCTAAATCGACTATATTGTCTAAGAACGCAATGAAGGCCTCATGTTTAAACTACTAAATTCAGATTAAAAAAACACTAAAAAACAGTTTGTGTGGTTTGTCCTCATATATTACATATCTCTTGTTTTCTGTTGATACATGTAGACCGATTATTTACATAAAAAATGATTCTAGCAAATCCAGTCCTAGTAGGAGAGAAAATTTAGTAGATGATCTCACTATTTCTATACTTTATTTGTTTTTTTATTCATGTCACGTTTCCTCCTTGCTACTAGTATATTAGGGCTTATCATTCATACAATACTTGTTGCGTAATTCACATTGACTTTCTTTATGTCATTTTATCATTTTAACTATTATTCTTATAATTAATAGTACGATTTATAGTTCTAGTTTATTATGATGTAGGACTCAGTAGCTGGGTGGATAACGCGGTGGCGTTTGAAGCGAAAGATACTGGGTTCCAGTCCCAGAGTGAACATCAAATCTGAGATGCAGGTAAATCCGGCTGACGAGTCCCGAATAGGACGAAACGCGCTTCCTGGATTCCACTGCTAGCCACTATCCACTGCTATTGTGATAGTTTATGAAACATGCTTTCTTGTTGGTAAATCCAGTCTCTCCTTGTTACGTTTAAACTCCACTAACTAGGGTTCCTCACTAAAACACTAAAAATTACCTTCCCAAATTAGTTAGGAGATGATCCCTTAGTTCGAGAGGTTGTGCAGAATGCAGATTCTGGTAGAGTCACATCATATCTAGAGCGAGATCAATATCAGCGATGGCGGAAAATAACGTTTTTCTCAATATTTATGAATTAACTAGAGTTATAAATATGAACTAATGAATGTTAACACAGTAGTCTAAATGTTTAAGAGATTACGGAGTCCTGAAGATTCTGCGTTCAATCTCTGATGGTTTAGCGGATTGGCAATGATGAGGCTTTCATTAGTAGGACGAGATGTCTTTTGATTGTTACCCGTATTCTAATGATTGTCCAATTCAAAGCGGTTCCTGGAGTAAAAATATGAATATTATATATTGTACATTTATATATACTATGTTTAGCTTTCAAACTTCAGTCAAAACAGTATCTTGATTCCCTTACTATTACATCATCATTTCGTTTTTAATTGTGATAATGTGATAGATAACAACCTGGACGGAGTAGATATCTGTACAATTTCCTACTTGGTTTCAGAGTGACAAACTGACCGATTTCAAAACGTTAGAATAGATATAACTAGTTTAGTTCACTGGTTCAAAAATTTTTATCGGCTGACAATCAGAGTTTAATAAAAAAAAAGTTAATTTAGGTTTGATTAGCTGAGATAAATGTTATTAACTTTGAATAAAACGTGACCACAAACCTCATTTGTACATCTGAATTAGGTATTTGAAGGATCAGAGCAAATGAATTAGCGTCAAAGTCTGGATCTAACACCATTAAAGCTCCATGTACACCAGAGTCAATCATATTTTTGGCGTATTCATTCAAACCTATACTTTTAAGCCATACAATGACTCGGTCATTACTCCAGACAAGTAAATCTGTAATTAAAATGTTTATTTTGAGGCAAATATTTTACAAACAATACTACTAAATATTAACATATTACTGAATAGAGTTGTGTTGATTTCTGTTAACTCCAGGTTATAAGGATAGTTTGAATAAAACTAAAGCAGATCACCTTCACTTAAGCATGTTTACCTTAAATTCTGTCAAGCTCCCTATAGAAGCCCTTCCCTCTGTACTTCCTATGTACTTGCTACGTCAGGTACTCGTAAGTTCATGAATGCGATTAGGGGCGACATCGAAATGGTAATGGTCTACCTTTGAATGATATAATGAGCAATTGATGTTGTATAGTGAAATCGATTGAGCAGCGGGGAAGCTTACAAGTACCTGGCGTGACACGTTTATAGGATGAACAGAGAAAAGTGCTTGAACAAGGTTTTCTGAACTCATTCACAGGAACCTACGACTGTAAAGGAGTAAACTCTTTACAAGTGCAATTTTCCGACATCTTTTGGATAATGGGCAAAAAGTAGATGTAAGTAATGCATTCAAAATAGTTGACAGACAAAAAGTAACAATCTTACTCCGTTTGGAAGAGGAGATTGATATCAAACGTTCCGACCTGACCAATGTATACAGAAGGAAGGTTTGATTAGCCTTTCTCTACCATGGTGAAACATATGTATATTTATCTAATCATCCTTTACTACGCCACAATGACACAAGGAGAATTCGAGCAGAAATGCTAATGCAAACAGGTGGACAAATACAGAGCAAGAATAACAAGGTTTGCAGAATTTAATGAACTCGTCATTCTATCTCGCGGTTTCTAACCAGCTTCCCTAAACATAGAATTACAATTATTGATATGATTACTTTAATAGTTAAATTCATGAATCGAATAAAGCTGGACCACCATGCAGAACCTGAAAGTATTGGATGGTCGTTTCGTCCTAGTATGAAACTTCTCAGTAGTGTGCATCCACGGTTTCACACGCAGGTCTCAAACCCAGGACCTCCGATCTCGTGGATGAACGCTTAACCTCTAGACCACTGAGCTAGCATCCATCGATGTTAATGTCTAACTTCAACCAAACCACCATATAGCTCGACCGTCCACCATTTCTTCAGTGAGTAACTGGCTCACAACAGTTAATTAATGGATTCGTTTGTATGAAATTTTTGACTAAATTTGTAATTAAAAGTTATGGTTTCTCCATATTATCAATGTATTACACGTAAAATAATGTGGTATGCTTATTTTATGCCATGGTTGTTTCTTAATGTAGTTCACACAACTGGTGAATAAATAACAAAACTTTTGTTAGGGAACATTTATTTGTTATTTTTAAAAAATACTCATATTCTTACGTCATCTAAGTATATAGAGTGAATAAATAACATTTCATCTGGTATTTGTTCTTATCATCAACATAAATTAGTGCAAACACAGGCACAGTGTAAATGCGACGCGCGTATTTATCAATATTCTGACTAGATATTTAAATGTTAAACAATAAATGAAAACATTTTTTAGCTCATAGAAATATATATATATATAAACATGAATAGATATAGTGATTCTAGGAATTTAAAATACATACATTTGTATCACTAACCATTTAAACTATTTTGACATGCTTCACGTCGGCGTTCAATCTCAGAACGATCGTAATCCAGGCGCTTGAGACACATGATCCCATAGTATAAACTTAAACGATGAAATTGATCAACCATCTTCAGATGTATCCTCAAATCACGCTTAGTTAAATGGCTTAACATACGCGCATCGACAAGGCACTCCATAAATGATGATCTGTATCTGGCTAACCCAAGACTAGGCAGCCAAACATTCCCAATCCATTCATGATTTAATTCACCCTGTTACATAAAATGAAGTTTTCGAAAACAAAAGAGCTAATTTTATCGTAGAAAAAAGCTTAATATTACTTATGCAATTATGTTTTGCCAATGGCAACTTGTACTACCTGAAAGTGTTTGTAATTATCTGCTTGTTTATGTATTTAGGTCATAAATAAATTACATAACTTATTTCGGACTGCAATGTTTTCAGAGAGAAGTTCGTGAAGACATTTTATGTCACTTAAAAACGTTGGTCGTCAGAGAATTTTTGTTGTGCGTAAACATAAGCCATACTTCGTCCAGATCACAAGAAACATTTACTATGAACTATATTATGGTTTACAATGTTGCAATTTAAAGTTTAGTACAGTCGTTGGATTATCTGTCAGCCTTCTAACAGTAATAATAGCAATACATCTCAGAAATATATGTAATGAATGTGCTTAGATACGTCTGTAAAAATAAATAAAATCTAAAATGATACTCAAAATATTCTCACAAAATCATTTGTTTTTAAACAATGATGTGGAATTGTGAAATCACCATTACGGGTTCAGTGATCATTTTTAAAAAATTATAAACAAAGAGCGATGACATCATTATAATTAACAAGCCAGTCACAAGTTTATATTTTTATATTTCAATTTTTACTTTTTCATGATAACTCCAAGACGATAAACTCCATCAGTCTAGTGTTTTATAAAGTTTATAACTGTCCAAATCATAGAACAGTTCAGCTTAAGATGGTGTTATGGAGGTATTTATAAGATGAATGCATTTGAAGTAATGATAAAACTATCCATAAATATGTATCATAAATAATTAAAAAGCCAATAGTGATGAGCAAAACGCAGTAAAAAAGATTTCATTTACTTTGAAAACTAACATCGAAAGTTGATAAAGTAATTTCTGTTGTATCCTTAGGTAAGCTAAATGAATGGTAACTGCTAGGAATTATTTATGGACTGTTATTACATAAATTCCTACTGGATAACTATTAAGTGACTATATTATATGTGTATTCGTATTCCTCTTATCATAAACTTCCATTTGACCTACTGACTACTATTACACGATTTACTCTTTTCAAGTTATTCACGAATTTATTAGTTACAGTTTCACATACACAGACACTTTTGGCTTGATCTTCTATGGTACGGTCTGATTTGTTTGTATATAAACTGCGTGTGTCTGAAATACATAACTGATACAGTGGAATCTGGGATTATGTTGTGGACTCAAAGAGCAGGACAAAGCAAGGAGAACCAATAAGGAGTCTGAGTTGATTCCAGGCTGCTCATGCTGGTTAACGCTTCAGTGATTTGGCACAGGGCCAAGGTCATATAAGTTGGTTTCTCTAATTGGCAATTTAGTCACGTGACATTAGACGAGGCTTAGGACAACAATTTCTAGAGATAAAAGTCTTTTTCAACGTACATCGTAAAGATAACAGATTATTGTAAAGTAAATCTAATCTCAGTTCAATGTTTAAAAGTGATAAACTATGACTTAGTAAGGTATTAGTTACTGAATCTTACGCTCTGAATAATGGGGTTAACGTTAAAGCGTAAAATTTAGCAGCATATTTTAAGATTTTATTTTAATGTTACATTAATAATTAACGTATAAAATATGTTTGGGTTAAGTGGTGTATACGTCTTTGCATCATTTACAAGAATGCAAACACGTCTAAGTGAATTAATTAATTGATTCGTAACTTATATGATTAGTGATAAAGCCGTCTACTTTCCAGACAAATTATTCAAACAGTTTACTAATTTGGAAATAATTATTCAATTTGAAAAGATAACGCTTTCTTCCTTTTAAAAACAGAGTGAATTGTAAAAGTTTAGGTTATTTATCTATAAAAAGTAGAAAATGTAGCACATTGTGTTAAATTTGTGTTTAAATGAATGTGATAAAATTTGAGGCTAAGGTGTAAACAAACAAACAACCTGTTTAGAACACACTGCCTTGAAATTGCGATATATATATATACTGGTCCAGGAAATTTGACTAAATATTATGGACTACGGTCAAATAAATGTAGTTTAAACAACACATGTCATTCTGAGATAATAATAGCTCAATCATGTTCCCTCATCCGACATCTTACAGGAGTATTCCAAGAAATTCAGATTGATTTATATTTTACTTATTCAATAACAAAAACCAATATCGACAAAAGAATACTATTCTTCAGATACTTAATGTATGGAGAATCGATTAGAGATGATAAGTTGTTCACTTTCATTAATTATTATATGAGACTAAACAAATCTTCGAATGAGTTGTTAATTATTGAGTTGCAATGTTTTAATGACAGTTAATTTCAACAGTTGACTGGATACACTGTTTTATTTTCTTAGGAGTATAAGTGACAATTCATCAGTATCATCAGCAAAAGTTGCTATGAAAACTGAACATTCGTTTCTTTGATTTAGTATTCATCCATTGCATATTCGAACACTATCAATATTGTCTAATTGTGTTTAGTATTTCTTTTCTAAAGCAAGTTGATTTTTAAATCATGAGCTATAAACAGACTGAAGCTAAACTATCCAGAATCACAAATGATGTTAAATTTATCTCTATACATTTCACACGTGAAAATGTCATCTATTCTAATCATTGTTAAATATGGAAAACTATCGACTATTGGGACAAGAAATGTCAAGAAGTATGAAAAATAATTTTTATTTCTGAAAAAAACCCAAATCATATTATCCAGTCAAAGAATTTTCTACATCCCAATTTATCAAAGAACTGTATTATTCAAAAATTTTGAATCAATAAAGAAGCTGAATCAATAGTAATAATTCTTTCAAGCAGCCAAGAAATTAGTACGTGTATTTATACTGCTAGAAAAAATAGTAGTGTATGTTGGGAACGTTTTCAGGCATAGGTGTTCTATTAGAAATTTAGGAAAGAGAGAAATAAATAAATCAGAAGACCTAGCTGCACATGTTAGAAATGCACTCTTATTATATCATGTATGATTGAATAGCAAATCCGTATCACTTAACCACCTACTTTTCATTTGTATTTGTGTACTCAAAATAACAATTCTGTATCTAATTTCGATTGGTTGTAAACAATCAACCAATGAAATTTAAAATTACTCGATCTTTATTCTATTACTTATCGTAAAGACAATAAGCATTGAGAAAAAAATTGTTCTTCTAAGGCTAAAACTGACTTCTGGATTACTTGAAATATATGTGAAAAATCTTGACTCGTCCTTTGAAGCAGAAAAACAACTAATTTTTCGTTTATTTATCTAAGACGGGGACTAGACCTTAGAAAGAATCCAGTGATTTGTGTTTTTCTCTAGATAGAGAAAACCATAAGGAAATAATTTCCTATTAATCTGGATGATTTTAAGAGTTTCAGTTTCATAAATATGGTTTGATAATTGTAAACGTTGAACCTGATATAATCAAAATCAAAATTTCTACCGATCACTGATTATTAAATCATATCAAATAACCCTTATTAAAACCCAGCACATCATTTTAATTGAAGGATGTGAAAAGTGATCAGTTTTTTCGAGAGTTAGTTATGTCTAATCTAAGTTACATCGAAAAAGTGAAGGCCTCCGTAAGAACTAATGCCTTACGGACTTGTTGATCTATAGTAAATATGAATGGTATGTCTAAATACTTTTAAACTAATTCAATCGGCTGACAAAAGCGATAGCAACTACACTTTTTTTATCTCTTACGACAAAGTTTGAGGGTATGACCATAAACATCAATAAAACAGTGGTTTGTTGAATTGTCATCAAAAATATGTGCTCATTATATCTGAATGCACGCTTTCTCCCCAAACGCATGAAGATGCAGCATACTGAAAAACAAGTTACCTCTGAATGTATTCACATTCGAACTTGAGTTTCAATAAGAGACACCTTGATTACTAGAATTCATCCTCACCAAAAACGGTAATGACTTACACATTATTGACTTTTATGTTCATCATAAAACAATAATAGCCTATTATATCACTTTTAAAATTGTTTAAATCATTGAGCGATAGGTTCGAGGAGTTCGAAGGGTGAATGTATGAAAAATCATTTATTTAGTAAGGGGTTGGGTGTGAATAAAGAATGTAAACCATACATAAAGGGCATATCGGAAACGACAACAAGGCTGCTGAAAACCTTCGGAATAGGTGTAGCCCACAAACCAACAAAGTCCCTCCACTCAATCTTATGCAAACCAAAAGATGAAATGACAAAAGAGGACAAAACAAACATCATCTACAAGATAAATTGTACCAACTGCAACAAACACTATATTGGACAAAGCGGACGCCCCCTGCATCTTCGCCTACATGAACACCAATTAGCAGTCAAACGCCACGACATTTCTTCACTCATATCAACATACGTGGGCAACTACGGACATACATTCGACTGGGAAAATGTGCAGATTTTGAACAGAGGCAATTCCAAAAATACCAGAGAATTTTTAGAAGCTTGGCACTCAGGTCAATCAGCAATAAACAAACATATTGAAATCAATCCAATCTATCAACCAATTAAGAAAATTATGCAGGAAGATAGGAACAATAATCAAACCAATAGGAGATACAACCAAAACAAAGAAATAAACAATGACAGATTTAAGGTCAATAAGAACCAATCAACATCGAGGTGCAGAGGACAAGCTGTGGAGAAATTCAAACACTTCGCTTCTACCCGAAGTTTGTGCTGATGATGTCGTTCAGAAGGACGACGAAAGCTCCACGGCCAAACCATCCAGCTCAGAGAACAAACCAACATCAAAATCACCCACCTGAGCTACAAATCTCCACCATCTCAATGTAAACCACATTTATTTTAATGTTATTCAACTTAATGCATAACAAATTATTATACTGTCGTAAACTATGTATTGAAATATGACTACGAACGATTTATAAAGAGCCTTAGATTTTACCTGTTGTATAATAGAATGTCATAAGTGGACGATAACTAGTCTCTGACCAAAAATAACACATTTTTACCTGAAGTTTAAAAGATATAGTAATCAGGAATCAAAAACAAACAATTATCACAACTTTCACATTTGAAAGTTATGGTTTCTTAACGTTTTTCATCTAAAGCTAAATTGTTTCACCGACCATCACTGGAATGACGATATTCAGCTTTTGAACAATTACCCATAGGTTCAAAACCCGACTCGTTTGTATCGGTTTCCGAAGGACTATGTGTATTATCAGGTCTCTCAAAAAATGTATTACTCGAAGCAAAGTATGTAAACCAGTGTTCAGTAAATAACGTTGATTGTTTTGATGTACATACTATTCTATACAGACTCATGTCACGTGTAGTGAATCGGATATTACTTCGTCTTCGGATTATTAATAATGCTCTCCACAGAATGCTGACTTTTTATTTTGGTGGTTAGTTGTTTAATACTTGATACCGTTTACCTCTACTGGTCACAGCTTCGCATTAGTCAACGGCTTTCCACAGAACTTAAAGGTTCTGGGTTCAATATCCCATTGAACCACGTATATTCACTGCTCAGAAGTCTCATACCAAGCTAAAGAAACTGTTCAATTATTTATGATTTTCATTGCTTGTTTAACTGAAGTTGGTTTTTGATATTAATAATGTTCAGTAATCCCCACAATCCTTTTACTGGTTATCTGAAATTTTAATTAAGCTGTAAGCTAATGCAAGATTATAAATCGTTTATTTGAAAGACATCTATATGAATAGTTGACAAATTATTAACTTCATTTTTTTGATATACAGATAATTCATATCTTGTTTGAAGTTCATATTGATGTTGTTTACTGTGTCACAATTAAATAAAATAATTATGTTTACATTTGAAATAACTAATTGTTGCAAATCGGAAATAAATAAAGCATTTAGGAACTATTTCATAGCATCTTTTCATCTCATTTAAAGAAATCAAATCCAATGTTACATGTAGGACATCAACTAAAAAGAGCAGTAAATTTAGGTAGAAATTGTAGCTTTTCTTAGTGAGTAGATGCACTGTAGAAATGTTTGAAAATTTCAAATTGTTACTAGGATTTCAACGATAGTTAAAATAGGGTAAGATGGTGGTTGGAGGTGGTCAACAGGAAACCCTGGACCCGGGTTTCCGGCTACTTGGCACTCGTCAGCAAGGTGTACCTATAATCTTGAGGGAACTGGTGCTCGCTGACGGATTCGATCCCGTGTCACTCAGCTTCACAGTCAGAGACATTACCTAGACTAGTCGCCGCATAGCAATTTGATCGATGGCATTCGATCAACACTAAGAACGACTTGACACGCATGACATTGATCACCACCCAGTGGTGAATCAATTGTGATAGTTAAAATAATTTCAGTTGATTATTATAATTAATTTTAAATAATTAAATACTTGTCAAACAATACAAAATATTTACCTTTATAAGTGGAGAAGCTAAGTGTAATTGTTTCATAGAGGTAGATGTTTCACCGTTTTTAGTTGAATTCGGTGTTGTACCTGTTAATGATGCAGTAAATGCAAGCATTTCATGTACAGCCAAACGAAGCTTTAAGCGATGTAAAGGATTACGTATGCCTAATTCTCTTTGAATATCTTGTTCAGATAAAGAGGCAAGCATTGCACCAGATTTAATATTTGCTTCACAAGCTGCAACATACCATGCTGGCATTCCAACCCATAGCTATGGAAATAAGTAATAAATAATGATACAAAATTTTAATTTTGTTACATTTATATAAAGAATATGCACAAAGTTTAATAAAGCTAACTTATTCTGTAATTTATCAATCTCAATCTTTCAACTTTCAGTCACCGTTTTTAGGTAGCGTGAATACTGAAGGACTCATTTATTTGTGTTATTATGAAATAATAGACAACTGAAGAATTTTCTTCTTCAAATCAGCATTCATTAATAACAATTATAAGGATATCTAAAAGGTTTAAATGGATGACAAACCAATGTTCAGTAGCGTTCGAACATTTTCATCACATCATCAAATGAAGTCCAGTCATGTTTACTTTGTTCTATTTAGTTTTAAGTGAGCTCGTTCATAAATAGTGATAATAGATTGACTTTACTGACCAATATTATCTTTCTTACTGAATGGATTGAGTTGATAATTCAGTTTTTGTTAATAATTGTCACTTGGTTACACATTTCTTATAGATTTAAACAATCAATCACATTATTATGAAAATCTGTAGTCCGATAGATCGTTCTAATTTATCTTTTTTTCAACTGAATATTATTTAAGTTTCTCAACTCAAATCTTTTCTTTATGAATAGAAGTACTGTAGTGTGGTCTACTTATATCCATACAGGTAGTATATGGTGATGGTCAGACATAGAATGTATTTTGGCGAAAGACAGATAAGTAAAGAACTGAAATGAATCGCAATTAGTGAGAAAATGCCTGAATAGTAGATTTCGAGAAGATGAACTGATATTTGCATAAGGAACAGTTAATATTGGGACGATTGATTGTTATTTCGCAAATTAACTGTTCATTGTATGGTTATCAGAATTTAGTGAGATAGTCAGTAATTTGTGTCAAAATACATTTGATTGTCCCCACCCATGTTTTGGTCACTACAGTACTAACTTTTTTCTTCTTCTCAAAACAAGCCGGAGTATTTGATTGCCTTATCAATTTACTTATACTTTTTTAAGAAAGATGAAAGAATAACTTTCATTTCATGTTTCAACTTAATATTAATAAAAATGAATTAAAATAAACAATTAAGTTTTGTAATTTAGTTCTTCATTAGAACGTTATTTAATTCATAATAATGATAATAATAATAATAGTAACAAAAAACAATAATAATTAAGAAAGACTTCTATACAAAATTAATTAATGTAAATAAATTAAAAGAGATATGAGAAAATGATAAACAATTTTATTCATATTACCCTTTTCCTTCTATCATATATGAATAAATAGAATTAAATATTGCAAAATCAAATTAATCAGTCCTTTTGCTGTTGTTATCAGCATTATTATTGTTGTATATTTACTTATTCATTTATTTTCAGAAGGGGGTTTTGTGGAGATTTTACTTATTTCATATAGTTGAGATTATGAATCAATTGAAGTTAGATCACTATGGGAAATCCGGTTCATTGTTCTATCGGTTAAGTGCTCTGGCGCGAGACTGGTAGATCCTGGCTTCGAATCTCGCGAGTGCGGGATCGTGGATGCGAGATGCCGGATTAACACCCACAATAGGAGAAAACGGCCGTTCAATTGCTTCCAGGTATTCCATGGTGGTCTAGCTTCAATTGACTCATGATTCCAACTATATAATATTCACTTATTTATTTATTCATCTATTATTTGGATGTTTTTTATGTTATCAATAAAAAATGTGAAGATAACTGAATAATATAAGAACTTTCGTCTAAATTAGTGCGAATAGTTTCACAGTATTTGGGGCGAGACTACGATTTAAAGACGAGCCTATCAGAAGCGTCTGAGGGATATCAAGGTCACAGAGCCCATTTCAGTACTTGATGCTCATGTACAATCGGTTCACAGAGGATTTTAAAGAAAACGTGACAATTAAGCGGCTACAATAAATGGGACTACTACCTTGCGCAGACTACCATAGTTGGTGTTGTATGATATATTTTTACTCTATACCAACTGTCTTCTGATTGGCTAATGTTTCTCAAGGTTACTTTAGATTCGTTCAAAGATCGTCCATAAATTATAGTTTCGCCGTATTTGAGCGCTGGGTTGATGTAAGACATTAAATAGGAATAAAGATTAAACCAGATTGCTAGGCGAAACGTTGGATTTACTTCAAATTCATTCTCTGAGATTTTACAAATATATTCATTCCTATTTAATAACTGAATAATAGTTTAGAAGATTTGCTTAATTATTAAGAGAAACATAAGCAGTTGTAAAAGATATTATATATGTAAAGTAAACAATGTATTTTTACAGTTTAATCATTAACATTAGAAACTTAATTATTCAAATAATTCATCAAGAGCTATATAAATTCAGAGAAGAAATACAGTTAAATCAGTTAGATGATTGAAGGGAATGTTATATCTAAGATTTCATTTTTAATTGGAAAGTATCAAATAGCTTGAACATTTTAATCAATGTCATTTTTTATTACTCATGTGTGCGTCTACCGTACTGACGCTTAGCCTAATGCTGTTAGCATTGACTTCTCTGATAGCAATATGAATTTAAGGACGAGATGAATTATATAAAAGATGAAAAGATCCATTGGAAAATGACTGTAAATAAATTCAAAATATTAAAGCATATTTTAGCTGTAAATAATTACGATTGTAAGAATTAAGCAAATTCAAATATGTGCCTCTTTGCCATACACAAAAATCATTGCTGATTATTATATCATACTTCATATTAAACAGTTATTGCAATTTTGATTATAGTGGGTAGTGCGATAAAAAGTTTCCGAACATGTTTGTAATTAGAAATAAGCTTCCTATTCTAATTAAAAGTTCATCGGTTTCGGAAATATTTTCCTAATAATTTTAAGTCACTGCTAAAATAACGTTAAATAGAGAAACATATTTGCCGAGACTATAATTTATGGACCAACCGATCAGATATAAGACAAGTCTTGGATTTTGGCGGGAAATTCACCTGTAAATTTGGCTAAATAGCTTCTTGGCATTATAACTGATGTCAGTTCGTGATGAAAACTCCAAATCGAATTCCTAACACTAACCATCAACTGTAAATCATAATTCTAATTTCTCAAACTGGTTTATAACTTTCATTTAGTCCTAGTTAGTAGTTGGACATTCTCAAGGTCACTGTAGCGTCTCTGCAAGGTCGTCCATAAAATATATTATCATCATATATTTGGTATTATCATAATTAAACATTTAATCATATGATTGTGTGAACAGAACAGCAGTGAACACTTTCTAACTCCTAATAATTGTCTGAGGGACGTCAGTTCACGTTGAAAATCATCTTGGGATCTTTCAACAAAACACCCTAATAAATTGATATGTTTGTCACACATATTATGTTTCATATTAAAATATTTACTTACTTTTAACCATGAAACTAATATGGGACTACTCCATGAGGTAAATGGTAAATTACTGCGTATAGCATCTTCAAGTAACAATTTTCTATTCAGAACATTTAAAATAATCAAAAAATGTCAAGGAATTAGTTTAATCAAAACACATAAAATAAGACAGAAGTATTAGTTCAGCAAATGGAATCCATATTCAGTAAATCGATTTTCAAAGCTATAAAATCGTACATATATGTTTTCTGCTAACTCAAAAAAGCTGTTTGCATGACTATTCAATTGAGTACTTTAATTTTAGAATTGAAATCATATGGTGAACCATACAAAGTCAACAGAAAAAGTGATAATCTTCACCACAAAACCTGAAGATACTAAGTTCTGTCGTTTGTGGTTTCATTACCATGAAATAGTGTACTAAGCGAACAGGAAATAAAATCAACTATTTTTGGTAAATCATTATCGGAAAGTAAACTATAAAACGCTGATAATATTAATTTAAAAAGGTAAGTAGATTAATAATGAGTATAATTAACTTAATAATTTAGATGAAGAGCATGTAAAATAAGTAACAATTCAATATATCAGAAAACGTTTTTGTGGATTTTATAATAGTTTTAATAGTTGAGATCATTAACCGATTGGAGCTAGACCACCATGGAAAACCTGGAAACACTGGACGGCCGTTTCATCCTATTGTGGGACTCCTTAGCAGTTCTCATCCACGATCCCGCCGTCCAGTGCTTCCAGGTTTTCCTCGGTGGTTTAGCTTCAATCGACTCATGATTTCAACTAATAAAATTCAATATAAATTCAGTAGAAACATTTAATTGAAAAAAAGGAGTCTATTTTTGTAAACAGCATGCAAATGGCAATTATGATTAAGTTAAGGTCATAACAACTATAGTTTAATAACATTTCAAAAGTGTTTTCTTTCAACAGTCGTATAAAATAACTTCTTTGATTTGATTTGTTTCATATATGTGTAACTAAATGTAGAACCTAAAGGAAAAAACACTTTTCAGAGTTACATTCATAACTTACATGTCCGTGTTTTATTAGAACCGAAGTTTTCAAACAAGTTAGTAGATGTACTCAAACGTATGGATGAACTAAAATGTGAAGTTCGTGATGATGATTTTAAAAACATTGATCATGAATATAAAACAATATAATACAGTTTTATTAACATTCATAATCTGTTTTCATATCATACAGTTTTAATGCACAATGTTATTGTGAATACCTTCGAAATGTCATCATACTATGTTATTCCTTATATGTTTAAATTCATTGCTTCTTTATTTTCTCATCATATGTATGTATCCATAGTTTTGTGCATATAGCACGTATGTATGTACTGTGTATCGTCAACTTCCAAAACGTAGCACATTATTCAAAAGCAGTAAATTTTCATTTTAAAAACTGTATATTATTGTCAAAAACTAACATTCAAGAGTTTTCATATAGAATTTACGTGAAAGTCATAGGTTATGACTTTCTGAAAATCATCTTCCCAGTATGTATTTAAAACATGATGTATAAACTATATGGAAACGTTTTCTAAGTACTTGTAAATATTGTTCTAAATGTTGAATATAATCAAATTATTTTTAATCTAACTAAGTACACTTAGAACAAAACTACATTGGTTCAAAGTAACATGTCTTAACACCGTGTTTTACTAGTTGTCAAAGGGAAAATATTCAATCAGAATGATTGAAAATCTTTGTTACATAATTAGAAAACCAGAAAACTGAACAAAAGGTTGTTTCCACTCATTAACACAAACATATATGTATATTTACTTACTGAGATTTTTGTCTATCCTCAAGAGTTTGTTTCGGTCCTAGAGCAGCTTAGTGATAGTCAGAATAAAATGTCAAAAAACGAACATAATGTTCTAATGAATAAAATGTGATAAACTTGTTAGCTTTATAAATATATATACTCTCAAAGAATATTTCAAATAATAATATATTTCGTTTTGTACGGTAATTTATTTTCTTACTGAGTAACCTAGATATTTAATACAAATGTGACTCTGATCATACTATATATTACTTATTAAGGAGACTGTTTTTTCCAGAGTTGTCATTTAATTATTTTTATTGATTCTGGATCACAATTGAATATACACTATGGGTAACTGATAATTGAAGTGTGAATGGAATAGATTTATACAACTTTTTTCTCAAATAATCTAACGTTTGTTATTGACCTTTTCGTAGGTCATTCAAATATGATTATTGGTTGACACAATTATAGTGAAAATGTAGGTGAGAACTAAATTGAAAACTTTATTGGTTCACCTCAACTGACTTCTAACTACGTCACTAACATCTATATCTGATCCATGTATTTATTCAATGAACAGAACTGTCACTAAACCTGATTATTCTTTGAAGTTTATTAATATCTAATTTGGGTTTTAAAAAAGGCGACATTATTCTAAGAAATACCTTAAGTCACAAAAATTTAAGTAAATACTAAGTTTATTTAATAACAGTAAACGATGTACCATCCACGAAGTATCTTTTATATAGATAAACTTCTCAAATTCAATAACTCTTTGGTCTGTAAATGTATCACAAAGTAAACCAAAAGTCATTTCACAACGTGTTGTTGTGTATCTCCTCGTTGGGGACAGTTGAACAGTGTCTGTTGGCAAATGACTCTATGATACCTACAGTTACCAATTAATTATATTTCAAAAGATGACTAGCAACAGAATGAATAAATTCATATTTTATGGTCTCTAAAGTTTAAGGCCATGGGTACATAGTTCGAATCTCAGTGTAAACATCCAACCAACTAGTATGAAGTAGGCTGAAAAGCACATTTCTGATTCCACTCCCATCCTCTATCCAAAATGTAATTAATAAATGTTCGTCGTTTACATCACAGATTGGATCTAACTAAGCAAGCAGTGAAAATCAGAAAGTATGATAATTTGAACGTGAACTGTGATAATTTATGCCATTTAGTGACACATGAAAATTATGGCAATTACACAAAATAGTTACCTTGAGCGTTCATCGTATGTGATACAGCTGACTGCTGAAATGCACTTTGTTCTTGATTAGCACTCACATCTGCAGAATAAATACCAGATTTCGCTTTGCCAAAATAACTATGATGTGATGGGGGTCTCGGACTGTATCTTGATGTTCCTTCTTGTACATGATATTGAGAAAAATTGTTTGGATAAACTAAACGATTGAAATGTGTTATGCTCGAGAATCCTGAATCTTGTGAAGAGTATACAACATTGGCTAGTCTATTTCTTTCGTCTGATCTATGAACTGAATTTGATTGAGGAATATTATACACCTGATATTGACGGGATGGATGAGTTAATTGATTAGAATGAAATCTTAATGGAGGTTGTTGATTACTTGAAGCTACTGATTTCAATGTACTCTCCACTTGGTTCTGTGAATTTGTTACATTTACAGGATTCGGTCTCTTGAACATACGACCCAATGTCCCGAAAATAGATCGTTTACGTTCATTTTCCCTTTGACTACTATCTGCACACTCTGTATTTCCTAAATCATCTTGTGTACCGGATATTGTTCTTGTAGTGACTGCGTTATCGTAAGTAGTCTTAGAAGGATCATTTTGTGCACGTCTTTTTTAAGATGAGTTAATAAATTGGGAAAAAGAAAAGTAATTTTGAGTAACTCAGTGTAATTTTCAACTTTTTAACAATATTGAAAATCTAGAATCATTTTATTTTTTCGATTAATAAAAGCAATAACAATTATTTATTTATTTGAAATAAACCTACCGCACACTATAGTCTACATCGTGAAAATTTGATAAAGTTGGTAATTGGGTAGTTCCAGTTGAGAAAACTACATTATGATCACTAGTATACCTGTGATTAGGAATAATTACACCTTGACTATATAATTTTGATTGTCCTGTTTGTCGGATAGCCATAGGATTCATAATTGCTGCATGCAGTCGTGTCTCATATCCTAAATAGGATGGATGCGGCGTTAGTGTGCAAGTTGTTGGAAATTTTTGTGTATAGCTAACTGATGGGTTTTGATAAATATCCGTATTCATTTGAGTGGTAGCTGTTGTAGTTCTGTAGTTGAAATTACTCAAAGAAGCGAGAGCAGAGGGCTCAGATGAATGCTATTGACGATAAGAAGAAAAGTAGGGACACATATGTATATTTTATGATTAATTCAAATTAAGAAGTAATTTTACATGTTAAACACTAAGATAGTGTAACTTGAGCTGCCTTATTTGCTCGTAAGTCACAGAGAAACGAATGTCCAAACTAATTGCGGTCTTATTAAGTTAAGGAACGTGTGGTTCATTGGAATCCATAATTTTTTCCACTAATATATATATATATATATATATATATATATATATATAGTTTTTAAATGAATAACTACCTGGAATGAATTAAAAAGAGGATAATGGAACTTTATCTTGAATTTCGTCAACTAAAATTAATAAATTAGTAATGAATCTTCCCAACGACGTTAAGGACTGCGATTGATCAGTCTCTTATTGGCATATGTGCATCCTGTGTAGATTGACTCGATAACGTCACAAATATTGTAAGCAAGGATGGATAGTGGCCAGCAGTGGAATCTAGGATGTGCGTTTTCGTTCTATTTGGGACATTTCAGCTATATGTAGCTGCACCCAAGTTGATGTTCACACCGGTATTCGAACTCAGTACCATTCACTTCAAACGCTATTGTGTTGCCTACGTAGCTACTGAGTCTCATTGCACAATAAAGTGGCTATCAGGACCCAGCTGACGAGCCCCAAATGGGACGAAACGTGCGATTTAGAATAATATTCGTGCTATATCATGAACTGATTAAAAATCTAGATGAGAACCATGAAATTTAAACTACGTTGTCTAAAAAAGTCTGTTAACCACAACACCTGAAGGTTCTGTGTTCAATTTAATGTGAATCAATGGATTTGTATTATAAATGGACTCAGAATTAGAATGGATCTAAATTTCAAAACAAATTATTCGTCTAAACAAAAGAATGAGAGTCGAATGACTTTTTCAAAACTACGTAACATTTCATTCGTTCACTCAAAGAATTACTATAATTTATTATAATACTACATATATATATATATATATATATATATATAGTATTTCATTTTCTTTCAAAAGAAAAATTCCGATAAACAAACACAATTCCGTTTTCTGTCTAATCGTACTTCAACATAACATATGAATATATCCTGTCTACAAAACTTATATTAGAAACCAGTGTTAGTAATAATAAATAATATCAAATTATTAGGCATGTCGTAGTCATGAGATAATAAAAACAGTTCAAAAAACACATTCACTTGGTGTTGTTTACTTGTATCTTCCCATTGTTATTTAGGGTTGCAGTTGCTCAATCTCTTGTTGGCATGTATGCATTCTGTGCGCACTGCCTCGATATTGACTGAAGTCACAAGCTTTATAAGCAAAGATGGTTGGTGGCTGACAGTGGAATCCAGGACGCGCGTTTTGCACCGTTTTGGGACTCGTCAGCCAGATGTACCTGTATCTCAGAGTTGATGTTCACTCGGAGACTCGAACCCAGTACCGTTCGCCTCAAATAATGGGAAGATACGAGTAAACAACACCAAGTGAATTTAAACATCACCCCATTGCACAAGCACGTGGGTATCAGGACTCAGTAGCTAAGTGGATAACGTGTTGGTATTTGAAGCGAACGGTACTGAGTTCGAGTCACATAGTGAACATCAACTCTGAGATGAAGGCACATCCAGCTGACAAGTCCCAGAACGGTGCAAAACGCACGTCGTGGATTCCACTGCTAGCCACTATCTATCTTTGCATATATGTTAACAATCCTTTTAAATGACTTCCTATTAATGCTGTATAACTGTAAATTTATATGTATATATAGAAGATTTGATTGAATCACTTTCATGTCTACATGAATCGATAACTTCTGACTTATGAAATGCTACAAAATAAATAGTGGATTAACTATTGACCTTGTTTTTGATGAGTATGAGATGAGTGGTCAGTCAAAATATGAGGTCGAATAAATAAAAGATAACTGTATGTATGTACGATGTTGCTATTGAAAGCATGAGAGTTGTAAGTAAACATAATACGAAGTTGGAATATATAATTTATATGAATATATAATCGTAATAAACAGACGATATGGAATGGGGATGAACATCTAATGTTTAGGTATATAGTTTGAATAAAAATAAATAGAGTGGTTTAATATAGATTTTTAAATATTTAAATAAAGGTTTGTTGACTTAACTCATCACTTTTGTGGTTATTGGTTGATGTAATCGTGATATCATCCGCAAATCATTAAGAACCTCATATAGAAGTGAAAATAGTTCAATTTTTCGATAGAACAATGAGAAGACGTTCTATCGAAATTTATAAAAGGGACTAATTGCTTTAAGTTCAATTTTTGTTGTCCATCACATGAGAAAAAATTATGTTTATATACAGCCAAATTAAGTTTTCTCTAACTGAATTCTGAACAAATGTCGCATAGATTGTATATATTATGATATCCATCAATGCGTTTTCAGTAAAGAATGAGAATTTCACGTTTGATCTAAATAAGTTTTTAGTTGATCACTATGTCAGTTCGTATTGGGAAGTAGTAAAATGCACATTATTCATTAATTTGTGCTGAATTGACTGAGATGGTTGGGCCACGTGTTACATATGCCTGAACACCGATTACCGCGACGCTCTATGCTGACTAGTATTGGCAATGGTTGGAAGAAAGTTAGGGGCGGCTACACCAAAACGTGGCATCAGAGCTTGAAGTCACTAACTTCTAGTCTGAGCCACGTTGATAGATGCAAACTACTTGGTTAGGGTCCGCGTGACTATCATAATCAATGGCTGGAGACCCTAAGTGACATGGCTCAGAATCCATTAAAATGGCGTAGGTGTATACACTTTCTGTCTTTCCCTAAACCTTGAGATCAAAATTGCTTCATATATGTCTTCCTTCCTATACTATTATCCTTATATACAACCTTTCTTTTATATATTACCATCACTAAATTAACTACTTCTATGAATTCGGTGTTCATCTTGTTGTGCTAACGAGGTATGGCAACTTGGATCGATGCATATATGTGTCTGCTTCTACGTTGTAGCTGAGTGACTGATTGAATTTGTGTTGATCATTTTGTGAGCGATGGCAAATTTATCAAATTAGGCAATTTCGAGAACACTTAACATTGTTAATAATAAATGAACTTTCTACCTAAATATATCTTCAAAATCCTTCACTGACATGATTAAGAGACCATGACAATGCTTATAAAAAAATATCCTGAAACTTTTCTGATAGATTTGGTTTATTACCTTATACAGTAAAATAATTTTTAGATTCGTACAAGAATTTAAATATACAGTATCTGTAAGATTGCTAAACGTTAGAAGCTTATAACTATACACAATATACATTAAACGTTCTTTATCCACCATTCCATAACAATATTCAATAGGATACAAATATCTCAATAATGAAAGTATGAAACATAAACGAATTATACATGCATTTTAATTCAATTATTTGATTTATGGGCATACATATCCAGAACTTGATATTTTCTCATTTCAGAATATTAGTATTTCATTGTATTCAACTGATATTTCCTAGGCCTTGAATAAAACTAGATATTTTTTACTAACTTACAATGAATAATATGTTGCACTCAATTCCATATATGTAATCCATGATATTATAAAGTGCTTCCAAAGATAAAGTTAGTTCACAAGGAATATCCACAAAACGTTTTAAAATAAAAATATGCAAATATCTATTATTGTCTTGTTGCTAAGAATACAGGTAGTCGAATAGTAGTTTATTTGAAGAAAAGATTAAACAGGGATATTTGAACATCCTAGTGAGATATTATAACCATATGAGTAAACCCAACAAGAAGATGTGTGAATGAGCACTGGTGTAACTCAATAATGATGACATTTTGTTGTCATTGGAATGCCCAATTTCATGAAGAGATAACTAGGACGATTTGAATGCAGCTGATAGTTGTTTGCATTGAAAACTGTAGTCACAATTGTACAAATCTTTCCAACCATCAATTCGAATGAACCATTGTCGTCTCGTATGTTTCTTTTTTTCATATACTTTTGCAATGATGCTAAAACTGTGAGTAAAGTGCTTCTAAACATTCTTTTTAATTAAGATTATGAATACGCTTTGTCCGTCAGAATCACATAAAATTCGTCCAACTATTTAAAACTATAGAAAATGAAGTGTTTTATCATTATACTATTGTAATTGATTTGTTTTAAAAACTCTGTTTCATAATATCCGTAGACATTTATGTATAGAAACGAATGAATATTCTAGGTAAAGCTACGTTAACAAATAACAACCTAACTCAGAACTGTGGTTAAATCTCAACCATATACGTTCCTTAGACAAAAGGAAGTGGTTACAGATAACTGTCAAACGCTACAATATTTCTGTTTTTGTTATCTGATATCTAAACAATTCTTGTGTACGACTATTTCCTGTCAAATCAAAACGCAAATATATGTTATAATGGAAAACTACCCTCATCAATAATACGAATAGTGCAAAACAGCTAATGCTTATTTCCCAGAAATAGAAGATTTACTCATAATAAGTCAATTTATAGTTCATGTAGTATAAAAGATTAATATTATGTAAACATCTTTTTAAAAGCGTAATCCTATAATTGCTATGCTATCCTATATTGTAGTCTCTTCGTTGCTTATAATTGCAAGATTTATTAATTTGCACTGGTTGTTATCCAACTGACAAGTAACAAACAGGACGAAATACATGTTCACGATCCCACTGCTAGCCACTATCTATCTCTGCTTATAATTACAAGACTGTTTAAACATAATCCATGTTAAATTATTATCTACTGTTTAGTTTATATTATGAACATTGTTAACATAAACAGTTATAATTTATTACAAATAATCAGATATTATTTTATTGATTGACAAAACAACATTTCTGACTGTATCAATTTTAAATTCAGAATAATTCATACTAGGCCTTTGGTTTGTTTGCTGGTGAACGCATTGCAGACACCATTAATGTAAGCTTCAACACTTGACTTGTAATTTATACTAG